CGGCTCGCACTGGGGCGGACGTCCCGCCAGCCTTCCCACCGTGGAGCACAGGGGACTGGGGCCTCCAGAGGGCCCGCCCTGTGCACTCGGCCCCACGGACCGCCCAGCGCCACACCCAGCAGGGACACAGGGACACACGGGGGGTGGGGTGTGGTGACCGACAGCCCCAGGGACAGAGACCCAGTTGACGGGGAGCTCCAGGCCTCACACTACGCTGAGACACATCCGTGGGGACAGGCGGGTTGGGTGGGCATCAGGGGCCCGAGGTCAGGGGGTGGAGGGGTGGGGGCAGGCCCCAGGGTCAGCCCCTGCGGGACGGGCGCCCCCACCAGCAGGGACCATCTCCTCCCCGACCCCCACTATCGCCCCCCACTTCAGAAAACAAAGCCAAGGCCACAGCCTCCGGCAGCCACAGCCACAAGGCCACCCGCCTGGGCCCAGCTCTCACTCGGCCTCGCACGTCACCCGCAGCCCTCACACAGGTCCCTCTCCTCCCGGGTCCCAACGGCCTGCCCGTGGCCAGTGTCCTGGCTGCAGGAACCACAGGGCCCCCTTGGGAGGCTGCAGGGTGGACCCCGTGCCCGCCCGTGCTGGCCCTCCTCCCTGATGCCGGGGTTTCTGGGTCTTCGATCTGGCACCTGGCTCGAGAGGCCGGCTCTCTTAGGGTGGCCGAGGCCACCTGGGACGTGGAGCTGGGACGCCCCTCCCCTGGGCACCCTCGCCTTCTCTAAGCGCTGACGCTGGGCCATCACGCCAGGCAGCAGCCGCTGGTCCCCAGCCCGCAGGGCCTCTTCCCGAGGTTGTCCAGCCACATGAGGCCTGAGGCCCCCCCAGCAGCAGCCTGAGGGAGCACAGCATGGAGTGGGGAGTGGGGTGTGGGGTGGAGGGGGCAGCTTCGGAACGCAGCCCAGCTCCCTTCCTGACACGCATGCACATGTGTGCACACACACATGCCTGCCGGCCCCCACTGCCCCCACTCTGGCAGCCAGCGTGGAGTTTTATTACTGCTGCAAATCAGATATCACACAGTTTGGGGCTGACGTGGCTTTTATAAGAATGATTTAGGGCCCTGGCCGCCGGTGAGTGAAGTCCCGGGGAGAACCTGGCAAGGCACACCCAGCTGCTGGGGCCGTCGGAATTCCAAACACTTCGTAAACTGGACGCACGAGAGCCCAGCACCTTGTCCTGTTTAAGGGGCGCTTCACCCCGCCCTGAGCCTGCCGCAGAGGCTCCTGGGAGGCCCCTCCCCCAGCCGGTGGGGGTGGGGGCCTCCTGCAGCTGCGAGGTGAGGGCTGCTGGGGGGTCCCCCACGAGTGCCTGCCTCTACCCCGGAAGCACCACCCAGAAGCCTTTCAGGCCCAGACCCTCTTGGTGGCCAGCCGCACTTCACAGAGTCTCCTCAAGGTTTCCCTGCTGCCTGTGCCCAGGCTGGCCGACCAGGTCTGCAACCGGTCAGTTCCCCCCCCCCCCGGGGGGCCACAGCAGCCACTCGGGCCGAGTAGCCAGCTCAGGGGCCGGCCTCCAGGTGGCCCAGCACCATGCCGAACGTCACAGGGCTGGAGGAGAGGTGGCGTGGTGAACAGCCCAGGGTCCCCGACTCCACGGCCACACAGGGGCGACGGGGCGGTGGGGACTCGCCTGGGGGGGGTCATCCCATGGACACTGTGTGTGCACTCTGAGGACATTCGAGCACTTCTGAAGTCGCCCAGGTCGGCAGTGCGCCCCGTGACGCTCCTCTCGCTGCCCGTGCAGGCCCCGACATCGGGTCACGGGGTGAGGCCTGCAGGCTGAGGCCAGGGGGCGAGTTGGAGAGGAGGGGCCGAACTCCATCCACAGGGCAGCCGCGGGGCACCCCACAGTGGTGCTGCCTCGGGGACACTTCCAGGAGGGGAGGCCCCAGAGTGGTGCCCACGTGGGCAGGAAGGGTGACGGGCGGGCGGGGTTCCTGTAGGAACCTGCGACCAGCCATTTCTCCTCCAGCCTCTTAGAGCAGAGGTGCTGGGCGACCTGGGACCTGCCAGACCGGGACCTTCCTCGTGCGACTCCATGCAGCAGGCAGGGCAGGGACAAAGCTCCGGAGGGAGGGACAGAGGAAGTGACCTGGAGCTACCAGGAGCAGAAGGCCTGCCACACGGACCAGCAGGACCCCCGTGGAAGGGGCATCCCCTGGGCCCCCATCTGAGGAGGCCAAACCGGGACCCTCAGAGCAGGGGGGGCAGAGTGCAGCTGTGTGCCGGCAGGCTGCCCCCCAACCCCCCAGGCTGGCCCCTCTCCCCTCCTCATGACGTCAGGGCTCCAGCATCCGCCCCATGAGGCTGGGGCCAATCAAAGCCAGATGTGGGAGCAGCAGAAAAACGCTGATTATTTTGACTAGGAAAAGCCCTATTTACAAAGAAATAATGAAGTGATTTGGGGGGATTGGTGTTGGGGATGATCTCAGCGGGCAGGAGTCAACGCAGATGCGGCACAGGTCGCCTGTGGGACCACATGGGGAGCAGTCCTGGGCCAGCTGCTCCCAAGGCCAGTGGCCCTGGTGTCCCCACGGGTGTCTCAGGGTGTCCGAGGCTGAGCCCTGTGGGGTGCAGCTTGCTCGGCTGAGCTGGGTGCCGTCCTGGAGAGAGGCTCCTTCGTGCAGGCTGCTCGGAGCACAGAGGTCCCCGAGGTGGAGCAGCCCACCCCCTCTGCGGCCGCGGGGCCTCGGAGACGCGGACGGCTCCGGAGGGTGCCGGGCTGAGGGAGAGGAGCCAGTCACTGCAGGCCACCTGCGCGTCCCCCACGTCTGCAAGGCACACAGCACCCACAGACCACAGCAGGTCGCAGGTGGCTGGGTGCCGGCCAGCGTGTCACCGTCCCAGAGCCGTGGTGGCCGTGGAGGTGCACTTTAGACTGGGGACCAAGGGTGTGGGCTCTGCTCCACAGAGCCACTGAAAGGGGCAGGTCTGCCCGCACCAGCCGTCTTGCAGTGGATGGCGGAGACCCCCACTTCACTGTGATCAGATGCCAGGGGCACAGCCTCAGGCGGGACGGCCACAGTGCTGGCGGCTGGGGGCCAGCACCACCCAGCACCTCACTGGCAGCACCCCAGACCACCGCCCACCCACCCGGCCCGACCCCTGTCCCCAGATCCCAGGGACAGGCCGCCGGGCTCTCCGGCCCACAGGGCCGACCTGCTGCACTTGACAGCTCACCACCGTCCGCTCCCTCATTCGCTCGGTCCCTGCGAGTCTGGACCCACAGGAAGGCACGGAGGTGGGAGGCCGAGCCCAAGGTCATGGTCACCCCAGGGCTGCCTTCCTGGGGCCTCGTTCCTTTAGCTTTGCAGCTTCAGGACCTGAGGGAGGAGGGCAGTGGGGAGCAAGAGGCCAGAAGGCTTCGGACAACCTCATAGTTGGCCTGGAGGGGTTGGGGCTTCTCGGTGGGGGCCAGGCCCGGCGCGTGGGTCACTGCGGGGACTCCTTTGGAGATGAGGTGACAAGTTGAGGTGGCCGGGCCTCACCTGGAGCTTCTGCGGGTCTGGGGTGTGTCTGTGTGGGCCCACGTGCTCTAGCCCCAGGCGGAGAGGCAGCTGGCCTGGCCCCCACAGCCCTTCCCCATCGGGCGTCTGCCCTTCCGCCCGGGTCTCAACACTCCTGCAAAGTAAACAGACCCCCAAAGTAGGACCAGGGACAAGGGGTAGGGGCGTAGTTGCACTGTGAGCTGTGGACTCTTCTCTACCCCTCAGCCAGGGCTGCCCCCCAACTTCCAGCAGGAAGCACCCATGGGGGACAGGGAACCCAGGGGCCCATCCTCTCAGGGCCCCTCTCCGGGCTCCAGCCCTTGGAAGGACACCCCACAAACAGAGGCTCCCTCCCTGAGCTGGGAGCCTGGGCGGGCACAGGGCAACTAGCCAGCCTCTCCTCAAAGCGCTGCACCCCCAGAGCAACCCCGTGAAGGCTCACCCCTGCATTGCCTCCCCTCACTGCCCTGCCTCGACCCTAACATTTCACACAGGGGATCTGCAGGCCCTGGGGCACGGGGGAGGCAGAGGGCTCCGAGGCTGGGGGTGCCCCCCTCCCCGGGCCGCGGGGGCCCAGGCCCTGGGTGCAGCACGGGGGTGCAGGGCCGGCCAAGGCTGCCCGCGGGCGGGCTGAGCAGGGGCTGGAAGGGCAGCCGGTGAAGGGTGAGATTCCTCCCCCGGCCTTGAGTTGGGGTCCTCAGGGCCGCAGGGCCCCATGAATTATTTCTCTAAGGAAAACACCGTGGCCGCGGCCTCCAGTCTGCTTCCGGACCGTCCCGTCACTTTAAATCAACACTGAAGGGCGAAGACTGCCCCAGCCTCCCATCGCCCTGCAGGCGGAGGGGTGCCTGGCGCCAGCGTCCTGTGCAGGGGTCCCTGGGGCAGAGCGGGGTGGTCCAGCTGGCTTCCCCACTTCTGTCTCCCCTCGCAGCCTCCAGGGGAGAGCAGGGCCCAGAACCCGGCAGGACTCGTGCCTGCTGCCCAGCCCTCCGGCCAACCTGCCTCTTGGCACCCTCCCGCCACTCCCAACAGAGGCGCTCACAGTCCCGGCTCCCACCCCGTGCCTTCTCCTCCGCTGTCCAGGGAGTGGGCAACCAGTGGGGCCCTTAGAGCCCAGCTTGGACGAGCAGGGCTGCGGACGGGTCTGTGGAACCTGAGACGCACGGGACCGGCCACCTGGATGCCATGGCCCGTCACACCCCACTGGCTGGGAGCCGGGGCTCCACTCTGGGGCCGCCTCTCTCCGGCAGCTCCTGAGCCCTGCCTCGACTCCCTGTCTCCTAAACAGCACCTCCCTCGGTCCTCCACGGCCCCTGCCCACTCAAAACCCACCGGTCATGCAGAACCTGAGTCTCGGCCCAGAGCTCTGGGCCAGTGTGGCTCCAGCCAACCCCCCTCACCGCGCCTGGAGCCGGCCTCTCGGTGTGCCGACTTGGGGCTGGGGTGGTGTGTGCAGGCCAGGCCTCGGTGCTGCTGCGGGGACAGAGAGACAGAACCGTTTGGTTCTCTGTTCACACAGGTCACCTTTATTGCAGCTGTGAGCCCGTCACAGGCCGAACCAGTCCGGGACGCCCCCGCGCCGGGGGCCGCCGCTCTGCCCCTTCCGCGGCTCCCCCAGCAGCTCCTGGACTCCGTCCTCGACAGGCCCGCCTTCGCCTTCAGGCTTTTTCTCAGGGAAGAGGTCCGGGAACGTGAAGGTCTGTCCGTGAGCCTACGGAGAGAAGGCCAGCGCTCCAGCACGCGGCGTGGACAGCACCTCCCCCGGCCCCGATCCGTCTGCCAGGGCTGAGCTCCCACCCGCACCCCGAGCACGGACACAGGTCTCTGTCCCTTAGTGACATCCCTGCCTGGAAAGAGTGCCCCACCCCCCATGGGAGCCCTGGCCCGCGGGCAGCAGCACGGCAGCGGAGGCTGCTTGGCAACAACGCCCCACGCACGGTGCCTCCTTGGGGGGTGTCGATGGGCAGTCCGGGGAGTGGGGCCGGGGGCTCAGGGAGACACGGCCCGCCACCTGTGTGCGTGCGGTGGCCGGAGACCCCCCCCACCCGGTGTGCTGTGGGCCGTTACCGGACTCCAGCTCACCCTCTCGCACGCAGCCCTCGTGCCCAGTGTGTGAATGACGCCCAGGCGGCCTGCACACCAGGGCCGGCCTGCTGGGCCGCACTCCTGTCTCACCGAAGGTTCACTGTGCCCCTGCCCCCAGCCCAGCCGGACCCCCAGTGCAGGCGAGGGAGGACCCCAGCTCCTAGACGTGGTGGGAAAGGACGTCCGCTGGGCAGGGAGGGTGGGGGCGGCAGGGGGTCTGGGGCGCTCTGGTCCGTGAAATCAGTGCAGCTCGGTTCCTGCAGACCCCCGTTCCCTGAGATGTGGATGTGGGCAGGCAGCCAAGGGCGGCTGTCCCGGCCCGCGCGCCCCCCGAGAATGTGCGGTTTGCACTTTGGGGTCACGTGGAGCGGGGTGCAGGCCCGTGGTGATGAGAAGCAGCCGCAGCGCCCGGTAGCCAGCCCGCGGGAGGATTGTCTTACACGTTTCAAACCTGCTTTTTTTCTTTTTTAAAATACCAAAGGGCAATAGTTTACATGCAGGGCTGCCTGCCCAGAATGGGGGGTTTATGTTTAATATATCGAGGTGATTCTGCTAGTTTTCTGAGGTGGGGGAAACCCAAAATGACATTTTAAATACAAATACAAAGATGGCGATTTGCAACAGCTCGGGAGAAGGTGGAAGGGAGGGTGGACGGAGTTCTCTGTTTCTACCTGGGACGGCTGTTTACGGCGCCCCTGCGGCCCCTTTCTAGAGAATTCACCTTGTGCTTTCAAAAACAAAACTCTCCAAGAGCAACCTGATAGCGGAAAAGTACAGAGAAGCAGAAAAATGTCATAAAAGTGAAGGCACAGCCCCGCCGCAAGGCCGGAGCCCGGGGCCCCATCTGCTGGGACTCGCTCCTGCGGCCCGGAGGCTCCCCTTCATTCCTGAGAGCTGTGTAAACACCGGCCCCTGCGGCAGGTCAGCGCTGGGCGCCCTGCGGGCCGTGGGCCCAAGGACAGGCTCCTCGGTTTCCCAGAGAAAATGTGGGTCTCTCACCCGTGGGACGGCTTTTCCACGGCAGCCAACTCCACATAAATCTGGCATCTGCATTTGTCTTTCTGATCAACCCTCTGTGGGCTTCACAATTAGCTGTGTCTAGAAGCCCCAAGGGGGCTCAACGGGACAGGCCAGCAGAGGATGGGTGACGAGAAGGGACCCCCTTCAGGGGCTCAGGCCCACCCTCCGGCTGTTTGCAGGCTGGCGAACGTCTGCAGGAGCCCTGGGGGGGCACAAAGGTAACTCTGGAGCAGCAGGGGCTGTGCCCTGGTCAGCGCCTGCGCCTCGTGGCCGGCAGCTGCAGGCCTGGGGTCTGCATGCCACTCAGTCCAGTTTTCCTGAGTTGGGGGGGGTCGGGGAAACTCGAGTGAGGCTCAGATGACTCAAAAGCCACCTCTGACCATGGCTCTGCTGCAAAGGGCCTCGTGGTGAAGGTGGACACTCGGGCTGCCCCCCGCCTGCCATGAACAGGGCGGCCAGCCGGGCCCAGAGGGAGGACATGGGCGTCCCACCAGCCAGCGGAGCGAACCACCCCACCTCCCCCCGCGCTGGCTGACTTGGCGCGCAGCACCTAGGCCAGATAATCACGGGCCCTGTTTGGGACGGCAGCTGCGGCTGTTTCCCGAGAAGCCGCCATTCCAAGACAGCTCCTGACAAACTGCTCCGGAGGCCCCAATCGGGGCTGCGCCCGCGGAGGGTTCGCAACAGCGCTACTGCCATCTAGCGGCCGCCCGCCCGGCTCCTCTGAGAGCCCCCCAGGTTTCCAACCGCCAGGGTTTGAAACAGGAGAATGGCAGTTCACGGGAGCCCCCCAGGTTTGAACAGGACCAGGGCTGACCCCGGGAGGCCCACGGCCCACTGGGGAGGAGACCCTGCCAGAGTGGGGAGAGCACCCGCGTGGGCCCCACGGCTCCACTGGAAGAGTGGGAGGGGTGAGCGAGGGTGCGTCCAACCGTCCCCAGCCCTGGGCCTGTTCAGTGAAGGCTCCTGTGGCTGGAACCCGCTCCTGGAGCCCCGGGCCAGGCAGGAGCTGCAGGGGCAGGCAGTGCCCAGGGTATCACAGTCCACTCAGAAGGGTGGGAGCCAGCCGCCAGCCCGAGGCCACAGCGGCGACGTGCCCCCCCTCCAAGTGGGACCGCCGCCCCACCCGGGACCGTCTGGGGCCAGCCCTCCTGAGCGGGCGGCCTTTGAGGCTCAGCGTGACCTGGTTTCTGTCAGAACCCAGATCCCCGGACCTGGGTGGGCCTGCTCTGCCCACAGCACGTTCAGAGTTCAAAGGCTCGACGGGGGTGGCCCCCGAGAAGTTCCAAAGTGCCCCAGCCCGTCTCCTCCCCCTGGCTTAACTGTGCTTTGAACCCCAGCCCCTCCTGGGCCGAGCTGTGGATCAGCACGGAGCACAGCGGCAGGGATCCTGCCCCTCAAGGCCTCCCTGGGCCCCCGGGCGGCGGTGGCTGCACAAACACGCCCCCTGCCCCGGGCAAAGGTGCTGCTGCGGGCCGTGTGCACACTCACCAGCTGCACGTACGCCACCTTGTAGTCCGGCTTCTTCACCCGGACGTTCCTGTGGTCCCTCTTCCTGTTCGAGCCTGTTGGGGGAGAGACCCTCACTTGCCAGCACTCGACTTCTAGAAAGACAAGCCTGCGCGAGCTGGCTGGTCACAGCAGCCCACTCCTCACACACGAAGGTGCTGCTTCCAGGCCACAGGCTGTGCTCTCAGGGCCCAGCCGCAGCCCCATGGCCCCTGCCCACGTGTGAGATAACTCAGGGGACCGCCTTTCTGGCCGGCCTGGCACCCTCGCTGGCCCCTTGCCTCAGACTGCAGACCCTCAGGTGGATGGGGTCCCTGGGAAGGGCCAAGAATGGGCTCTGGGGGAGAGAGCACTTCGGCAGTGCCCAGAGTAGCCCATGGGGCCAGCCCGCAGCTCAGCCCCCACAGAAGTGGGACCCTAGAAGTCACCCGAGCACTGTGCCTCAGTTTCTCCCTGTGCCATGAACCAGGCTCCCAGAGCAGCCAGGAGGACAGCATGGGTCAGTGGCCATTTGCGGGGGGGGGGGGCTCCACCCCCGAGACCACAGCCCCGTCTGGCACCCACCGTGCTGCACTCTGGTCCGCACGGCGGCCACCGGCACACTGTAGATGCGCTCGAGGTAGTTCCGCAGGTCCACCCTGGTCATCCTGGTGGGGAGGAGGACGAGGACCGTGAGCCAGGCTGGTGAAAAGCAGCCAGGGCGGGGGGGGGGGGGGGCGGCGCCCAGGCTGTGGCCACGCTGGACCAACCCCCGAGGGGCAGCGACCCACCCCCACCCAGCACTCCCCCCCCCACACACACACACGGCGGCGTGGGCAGCCACGCAGCACCGGCCCAGCTCCCTGGACCGGGCCTGTCCCATCACCCTCCTGCTGGCCCGCGCTCGAGGCCAAGCGGCCAAGCTCCAGGGACTCTCCCGAGGGAAGTGACGGTCTGCGAGTGCCCCCTGGCTGCCGGGAGCCCAGGCCGAACCGAGTCCAAAGCCCTGGGGCGGCCCAGTGCGCAGCTGCCGCCCCCTTGCATGGTCCTAACCGGCATTTCTGAAAAATGACTGTTTGTTGGGTTAGGTCTTATTCCCTTTTCACCTTAAATGCATCAGAAGCTCGGGCCCTCAGCCGCCCCTGCCCCTGCCCCTGCAGGCTCACTTGGAGCTAGGCCACTCTGGGGCAGCCACACCTGGGGTTCGGGGCAGCACCCTGCAGTGAGGGTGATGGGTGACGGGGGGGGGGCCCTGGGCCTTTGGGGCCAGCACAGGCCTGGTGCAAGGACCCCTGGCTCTGGCCCTGTGTCAGCAGCTCTGGGGACTGGGCCCAGCGCTGGCGGGCGGGGGGCACAGTGACTTGATTCTGCAGGAGGGTGGGAAAGAAACCGGCTCTGGCTCCCCACCCAGCCTCTTCAGGCGGAGGGCAGCCGCCTCGGCAAACAGCAGGCCTCTGTCAACATCTGCAGAGCCTCTCCGGCGGCCGCAGGGCTCTCGAGGTGGGAGGCAGGAGGGGGCTGGCGCCCCCGCCGCGGCAACTGCGGACTCACTCCATGGGGATCCGGAACTGCACGGTGTCCTCAGGCTGGGCCGAGCCGGGCCGTACCAGCTGAATGAAGAAGTTGGTGCGGAACACCCGTAGTTGGGGGTTGCCCAGCTGATAGAGAGGGTACCTGTGAGGGAGACACCCGAGTCCATGCTGTGTCCAGAACACTCCCAACAGGCGGCTGCCTGGCCAGCCGGGGCGGGAAGCACAGTGGGCAGCTCTGCAGGCGCTGCACCATGGCCCCGGCCCCGGCCCACCTGGCCCTGCCCAGCATGGGCGGCCACCCCCTGGTCCCGTCTTTCGGTGGCATGGGCTGGTGACCCCTGAGGCTAGCCTGCAGAAAGGGCCAGTGAACGATTCAAGAAATAAACAGAGACCACAGAGGACATGCTCCCAAGTCCCCAAAGCAGGCTGGTGGTAAGGCACAGACAAGTATTTTGCTCAGAGTGGCTGTCCCACAGGAAGGTGGCCCCAGCACAGCTGTCACCGTCCCAGGAGTGGGCCCCACTGGGGGCAGGCCCGCTGCCAGCACAAGTCACCCCCCACTCCCTGGTGCCGGATGAGGTGGGATGGGCAGAGTGCCGGCCCCACCGGGACAAGAAGCTCCAGGGACATGAGGCTTGCAGTTCTCCAACCCCAAGCTCACCCTGAAAACCCCCAGGGTGGGCAGGCTGGGAGCCCAAGAGCAGGTCTTGGTGGGAGGGGGTGCTGGGAGCCCCACTGTGGAACTCAGCTGTCCCTGGTGACCCATCAGCAGCACCCGGCACCGAGGAAGGGGCTCCCTGGGGCCAAATCCCACACTGGCTCTCAGCTCCCACGTCTGGGGAGGGTGAGGAGGGCCAGGGGGTCAGAGACACCCTTGGGCAGGGGCGATAGGGTCTCCCCGAGAGCATGGTATGGGTTGGGATGCGTGAACCAAATGGCTGAGCACCATCTCTCTGGGGCCCGTGGGTGACCGAGGCAGTTTGCGGCAGCTGCCCCAGCAGGACCTCCTTGTGGCACAGCCTCTGCCGGCCTGGATACTTCAAGGGGATGGGAAGGCAAGCGGGTGTGAAGGGTGGGGGCTCAGGCTAACCCCTGCCCACCCAGGGGTCGTTTCCCCCCATGGTGACCAATGGCAACACTTGCTGCAAGGGATAAAGGCTGGGGCCCAAGAGGGTCACTGTGGGAGTGTGGGGACACTAGCTCAGACCCTCCCCACCATCTGGGGCCTGAGGGCTGTGCTCAGCTTCTACTGGAGAGAGGCCCAGCGAGAGGGTCCAGGTGAGAGGCAGAGGCCAGCAGGGGCGAGTGCGTCCCTGCCCCCACGCTGAGCCCCAGGCCCCTGTCTGAGGCCTGGGACACCCCACCCCCAACTCGGGAACAACTGGAGCTGCTAATTACTTTCCTGCTGGGTCCCAGAACACAGCTCCCTGGGCCTCCTGGAGGCCCAGCACCCCCGTGGGGCCCACCCCTGGCCTCCCTAACTGCTCTGCATTTCGCAAGCACCTCGACCTAACATCTCGCAGGCAGAGCTCTGAATCTCTCCTCTCCCCTCCAAACAACAGGCTGGCTGGCTGCCACCAGCCCTCCCGCCCTGTGGCCCCCGCGGGTGACTCATCCAGGGTCCCACCCTCTCCCTCACCCCACCTCCTGGCTCCACTGCAACTCTCCCCTCCAGGGCCTCCCTGGCCAGCAAGAGAGCACGTGCACTCCAGCTGGGCCCCTGTCCTGGTTCCCTTCCTGCCTGCACGTCCTTGGCCTCCAGGGTAGCCTCGGGGGCGGCCTTCAGGGCCTGGCTCTGAGCTTCCATTCCTTGAGGCTCCGCCCCTTCCAGGCAGTGGCAGAAAGCAGTGTCCCCTCCTCAGGGCCCCGTGCAGCCCCCTCCCCACATCCACACCCTGGCCCAGCCATGGAGTCTGCTTCCACGTCTGTGCCGGGGGTGGGGGGCTGGGGGGACCACTCATTGTCTGCTCTTCAGGGTCAAGAGCATGCACGCATGCATGTATGCATTCATTCACTCATGCTTCAAACATGAACTCTCGAGGCCTTCTGTTCACGGGGCCCCGGGACTCCTGCTTAAACCCCCTCATTCACTAATTCACGCATTCACACATGCAACAGGCACGAGGCCTTCTGTTCGCGGGGCCATCGGATCCCTGCTTAAACCCACTCATTCATTTATTCACGAATTCACTCATGCATGAATTCACGAGGCCTTCTGTTCAGGGGGCCATCTGATCCCTGCTTAAAACCAGGGTGGTCGGCTGGGCAGAGGGTGGGGGAGGGCTGGTGGCGCGCGGCACTGCCCCGCCCCAATGCCGCGCGGGCGGGGCGGGCCCTCGGGGGCGGGGCGGAGGGTGGCCCCCCCCGGCGGGGCCTGGGCCCGGTCTAGCGTCCGGATGGGTTCGCACACGTGGCCGCGGGGGTGGCGGCGTAGGCTTCGGGACTCGGACCGTGCTCCGGGGGGCCGGCCCCTCTTCCCAGCCCCCCCTTCCCGGTTCCCGGTCCCCGTCTCCTTGACAGTGACCGGGGTCGCCCCGCCCCGCGCAGGCCGCCCGACTCACAGCACGTTCCGCGCCATCGCCAGCTTCCGGTCCTCTGGCAGAAGGGATGGCTTGCACGGCCTGCGCGGCCTCTGGCACAGCGCCCCCTGGTGTCCGGAGGGCGCGCCCTGCCCTGCGCCCAGAGACCGCCACACCTGAGCCCCACCCACTGACCAGGAGCCTAGGCCCGAATCCCTGTAGCTGCTTCTCCCTGTTCCCCCACTCTCCTGGGGCTGGCCCGTGTCTTTCCACAGAGCAGGGATAGTGTTGACAGGGAGTGTCAAGCCAGCCACTGGGAGAGAAGTGCCCTGGGCAGCTGCTGTAGAGAAGCAGCAGGCTGGCCTGTAGACTGGGGATGGGGCCCGAGAGGGCAGCAGGGCCTGGGACCAGGGAGATCAGGGGAGCCTGCAAGGAGGCGGGCATGTGCCCCTCTGAGGGGCCCAGCTTTGGGGCGGGGACTGCAGGCCTCCCCCTTGGTGTGTTTGCTGATGGGAATGTCCTGGTGGTCTCCCTTAGGACTCGGGTGCCACAGAGGACAGCCGACAGGCACAAGACAGGGCTGGGTGGTGACAGTGGGCTGCACTGGCCTGCTGGGGTCAGGCGGTGGGGGGCACAGCTGTCCCCTGTTGGCCTCCAGGCCCACGTGGAAGACACCCGATGGAGGGGACATGTCAGAAGGGCCACTGTGCTGGGGGCCCAGGTCAGGGCTGGAGGACCAGCGATAGGGCTGGGAAGAGGGGTGGAGCTGCACAGGGCCTCCCCTCGCGCCCGCCCGGGGCAGGGGGCAGGCGGCAGGTGGGCTCTCTCCTTACCAAGCACCAGCTCCAAGGCCAGCTTCTAACTGGAAGGTGCCATGTCACTCACGGAGAGGTTGCTGGAAATGGGGTTCCAAGTTGTGTGAGGCTGATGAGAGGCAGTGGGCTTGGGGACCCTGCTGCAGTGCAGGCCCCTCAACACTCAGGCCTGGCCTCCGCTGATCCACCAGTGGGTTCCTCCCCCCCCAGGCCCAGGATTTCTGAGCATAGCGGAGGGTCCCGCGCCTCCACCCGAGGCAGCAGCCCCCGTGGAGCGCACGGCCACCTCTCGCTGCCCCCTTCTCCATGCTGTCTGCCCTCACCTGGGTCACGCCGCCACCGCCAGGCTTGCCCCTTCTGAATTCTCCGGCAGGTCTTCTCTGGCCAAATGCTGCCAGATAAAACAGAGGATACCCAGCTAAATTTGAAACTGATAAACAGTGAGGTTCTTGCCGTCTTGGTCAGAAGTGACCCCTCTTTACGGTGGGTGCCCTGGTGTTCTGGTCCTGGGGGCTCAGGCAGCAAGCCAGCTGGCAGGGCGGGAGGTGGCCTGGGAATCTCTGTTTCGCAGGTGGCAGCCTCCAAGCAGTGGGGCGAGGTGGTTCCCTTCTGATTCAAAGGCTCGATGCAGGCCAGGTGGTTCTGCGTGTGACCGGTGGTTGGTCTGCAGAGGTGGGCACGGGCAGTGAAGCCCAGGCGAGGGTGGCGGGCTCACCCCCTCCCAGCCCCTTGTCCGAGTGCCATTGGGAGCCCCAAACAGGCCATGCCCCCAGAGCCCAGGTCACCCGGACAGTGAAGCGGGTCCAAATCTGCTTGCAGCTCATGTCCAGGCCAAGGTCTATGGGATCTGCCCGCCTTTGGGACCTGGTCCCTGCGGCTTCTCCCTGGGGCTCCTGGCCCCTGCCCGGCACCCAGGCCTGGCTTCCCCAAGGCACTTCTGCTTCTCGGAGGGCCTGGCACACGGATGGATGGCCGTCACCACTGTGAGTGGCCTTCGGAAACCCAGGGTAAAACCTGGCATCTCACTCGCTGTGATACGAATGCGGTTACCAGTGTTGTCCCCGTTTCGTGTCTCCGAATCTGAGACTTGTCTATTTATGTCTTGCTCATTTCTTCCCTGTGAGGGTATGTTACGGGCTGAGTTGTGCCCCCGAAATTCATTCCTGGAGCCCCGACTCCTAGGACCTCAGAATGTGACTCTGGAGTTGGGGTCCTCAAAGAAGGGATTAAGCCTGGCCTACTGCAGCCCTGGTTGCTGAGGTCACTGGGCTGGGTTCTCATTCCCAGGACCTGTGTTCTTATCAGAACAGGAGACCAGGATGCAGACACACACAGAGTGATGGCCGTGTGGGACAGCGGGAGGGGACGGCCGCCCGCATGCGTGGGAGAGAGGCCTCGGGGGGACCAGCCCTCCCTGGGACAGCTGGTCTCGGACTCCAGCCCCCAGGACGGGGACTGTGAGGGTCTCTGGTTCGAGAGGCCATCTCTGGGACTGGGTTACGGCCGCCCCGGCAGACCTGTGAGAGTGTTGACGTTTCCGGTGCATTCCCAACGCGTCCAATGTTCCCTTATGTCACCCTCCTGTCTGTCAGGTTAAACTCAGAACGTTTTCCCAGTTCGTCAACTGCCTTTTCACTGTCCCAGCCGGCCCGGTGGTGTGTGGGACATGCGTGAGGCGTGCACACCTGGGGCGCGCAGTCCCACTGCCCTGACCCAGGGGAGGGCCAGGGCCTCCATCGCCCGAGAGCCCCTGCCTGCGGTCCCTTCCCCCTTCCCTCCCCGCCTCCCCTTTCCCTAGCACCAGTGACCTGGTCAGCTTGCATTTTGTAGAGTTTTCCATAAATGGAAGCATCGTATATACTTTTTGTTTGGCTTCTTTCCCCAGAATGACTATCGTGAGGCTCCTTTGGGCGTGCGTGCCTCGGCCTGCATTCCTCCGGCCGCCACGGCACGGACTCACCACGGCTTGTTTGTCCGGGCCCCGCTGATGGGCGTTTGGGCTGTTTCCAGCGTCGGACGACGGAAAACAAACCAGTGTTTACGTCCGTGTGAAAGTCTTTACAAGGACAAACACTTCCTTTTCTCGTGGGGAAAGGCCGAGCAGAGGGACAGAGTGCCAGGGGGGGAGACTGACGCCGAAGGGTCGCAGGGAGAGGCTTCGCCAAGGGGTCCTCTGGCATTTCGGCCCGGCTGCCCGGTCCCACGCACGCGGCCGCTCTCCTGGGCGGGGGTCCTGCGGCTGCAGCAGCGCTGCTCTCCCAGTGACCGAGGGGTCCTCGTTTCCACGGCGCCCTGGCTGCTCATTTGTCTTGTTAATGAGGTGTCACTTCTAATCTTTTGCCCATTTTTTAAAAGCGGGTTGTTTGTTTTCTTATTATTAAGTGTCTGCACTTTTTTCCCCTTCTTTTGTCGAGGGGAGGAACATTTATTGTTCGTTTTTCCTTTTCTGAGCATTCTTTACGTCTCTGGGTCACGCCTCCATGAAAGACTTGCTGGGCAAACGTTTTCTTCCGCCCTGTCCTCTACGGTCATTGTCTTGACAGAGTCTTTTAAAGAGCAGACCGTAAACCTTCCAGGTGCCTTCCAGGGCACCAGCTTGCTCTTTCGGGGACCGGGCTTTGGGGTTGTGACCAGGCAGTGGGCCTGGTCCACGCTCTCAGTGGGTCTCTCCTGCGGGGGCAGGTCCTCATTCCGTCTGTAGCCTGCGCTCCATTTTGAGTTGATTTTTGGCTGTAGTGTGAGGGGCGATTCCAAGTTATTGCTACTGCTCATGTTGCCCGTGGCTCTCCCGACGTCCCAGCAAGACTCTCGGGACAAGCAGCCATGTCCACGGGATGTGCGGCGACTTCCGGGCCCTGTGTTTTACCCCCCTGATCTGAGTGTCTTTACATGGAGACTGGTCTGTGCTCGTGACTCTAATCTCAGACTAATTCGGAGACCGTTTGTGTGACCCTTCTCCTCGGTCAGGGTCCTGCGGGCGCCTCTGGGCCCCTGCACCTTCCACAAGACGCACAGGGCCTTCGGGAGGGGGGCTGCTGGGACTTTGTGATTGATTGGACTCTGTCGGCACGATGGAGGGGGACCCGCCCTCCCCACGGCGTTGACAGGGTCTCCCCTCCAGGGACCATCACGTGTCTCCTCCTTTGCTTCCCTCACTGATGTTTTGTATTTTTCCAGGTGTAGGTCTTTTACCCCCTTTTTCAGTTTTGTTCCTAGTTTTGTACACTATTAGGAAATGGCACTTTTTTTTTTAAAGATCACCGCCTGATTGCTCGTGGCTGTTTCATAGCAATCCAAGGGACCTCCATAGGGGCCGTGTGTCCCCAAGCCTCGCCAGCCTCACGGACTCGGACTCGCCCCTCTAGCTTTCCGGGGAGGCTCTGTGGGGTGGGCCAGCCGGGTCCTCTGTGGCGAAAGCAGCTTCGCCCCCAACCTGTGTGAGCCTTTCTCTTGCCTAGGACACCAGCGGCCCCTCGGCCCCACGGTCGGCCAGGGCGGATTCCCTGGTCTTCCCCCATGAGGCGAGGGGCCCTGGGAGGAGGAAGCGCGCTCTGCCCCCTGTGTGCCCAGAGTTTTATGTACTGGTCACTTTAACACAGAGTGCGGGAGGTGCTCAGTCACACGCTGGTTCGTCCCTGACAGAGCTGGTCCTGGCTTTGGGTTTCTTGTCTTTGCCCAGATAACCGTGACTTCTGAGGGCTGTGCCCACTCCACCTGCGGGGGGGGGGGGGGGGATGGATCGCACCCAGTAGGGACGCGTGCTAGTTTCCCGGGTTGCTGGATTCCTTCGGCTGAAATTGCATCTGGGACGTTTGCACCTCGGGTGTGGAGGGGACCGGCCTGCAGCTTTCTCTCCTTCTGCCGGGGCTGGGGCGGTACGGCCGCCGGGAAGGGGTCAGGCCCTCGACCCTCCGCGCCCACCCCCCCCCCCCGTTGTCTGGAGGGTTTGTGCGTGTGCATGAGCGTGAGCCCCAGTCTTTCTGTGGGAAGTGCTTGGTGGGGTCGGCCCGGGAAGCCATCCGGGCCTGGAGTTCTCTTTGTGGGGAAGGTTTTCTTCTTTTGTTTTTCAGGGGGAAGTTTTTAACGACGCCCTTTCCTTTCCTTTCCTTTCCAAGGGAGCTTTTCTCACAGGCTGTGGTTTTCAAGAAATGGGGCAGCTCCTCGGGCCCATCCACCCTGGTGGCACACAGCTGTCCACCGAGTTCCCCGGGGGAACCCATGCTGTCCCTGCTGAAGTGGCCGTGTGAGCCCGTCTCTCTCTTCCCCTGATCAGGGGGGTTAAACCTCTATCACTTTTTCTTGCCGTTTTCAAAGAATCAAGCTTGGGTTTTGTCTGGTTTTTCTGGTTTCACGTTTTCCATTTTGTCCACTTCCACTCCGTCTGTATTATTTCCTGCCTTGTGCTTTCTGGGGATTTAACTTGCATGTTTTTCTGTAACCCCGAAGGTGGGAGTGGGGCCATTGACCGAGGTCTTTCCACCCCCCCCCAGCCCCCCGAGCTGGGCCCCAGGCCTCCTCCGCAATCATTCCGCCCAGATCATTTCCTAGGCCTCTTCTGGCTTGTCTTCAACTCATGGATCATTTAGAAGTGTGTTATTTCGATTCTAAATACTTGAGCGTTTTCCAAGGATCTTTCTGTTATTGATTTATAATTTAATTCCTTATGGTCCAAGAACATAATCTGTGTGACTTGAATCCTTCTCAACTTATTAAGTCTTGTTTTATGGCCCAGAGCGTGGTCTCCACTGGGGAGTGTTCTGTGCACCCCAGGAAGGAGTGTGGGCCGGGTGGTGTGTTCCATGAATGTCAGCCGAGCCGAGCTGGTTGGCCGTGCCCTCCCGCCCCCCCCATCCCCCCGAGTTCCCGCTTCTGCGGCCGATTAACCATTGAGAGGGGTGTGGATTGCTGCCTCTGCCTGGTTTTGTCTGCTTCTCCTTCCAGTGCTGCCACGTCCGGACTGACGTCCGTTTCAAAGATCTGTGTCCCCTTTCGACCCGCAATATTTGTGTCTCTAGGTACAAACGTGTCCCTAGGCAGCAGTGAGACCTCCGCCCACCCTGTGTGAGCAGCAGCGCCGGCCCCCTTTGCAGCTCTGGTCCGTCCCCCACGCCGACCCCTTCCCTGGCCCCGGGCACGTGCAGACTGGGCCCTTCAGTCCTGGAGGAACCCTGCGGGTCCCTCTCTGGTCCTCGGTCCCGTGACTTTTCCCTGCCTGGGTCCCCCTAGACCCCCTGAGTCAACTCAGGGACCCTGTGGGCCCCCTCCGCTCCTCCCTCCCGCACCGAGGCCTAAACCCTGAGCACTTTCTCAAGGACCTGGGCCCAGCAGCCGCAGGCTCGCCCTGACCCTTTCTCGTCTCCCAGGGACCTTGTCATTCGCTGCCTGATGCTTTCTGTATCTTTTATCTGGTTTTCCTGTCACTCCGGGAGGGAGGGTAGATGTGGCCCCTTTGCTGCACGTGGCAGACATTTTTCTGGGGTGCAGAAACTTAACAGTCTTCACGAGCAACAAAAGACACCGGGCTTGCCCTTTCCTCCCAAGGCGCTTCCGCTGCGTGGGAGCCCGGGGAGCAGATAATCAGCGGGCACCCGCGCTTCCCTGGAGCCCTGTCTCCCTCCACTTTCCCCGACTCTGCTGGGGGCAGGTGGGCCGCACAGACGCCCGCCCCCCCCGGGCCTCAGGTGCCCGTGCCCCGGTCTTCGCACTGACCACCCAAGTGTGGGGAGAGCCAGCGGCCGTGTGGCCTTGTGGCTCTGCCTGACCCACTCTGAGCTTCGGTTTGCTCCCCTGGAAGAGGCAGCGGTGGGGGCACTCCCCAGGGTGGGCAGAGGCCTGACTGCAGGGCAGGGCCCCCCCCAACGCCCGCAGACGCACTACCTTCCCTGGTGAAGCCCACTCTTAACTTCCCACGGTCTCTTGGCAGCCCCTGCCCCAGGAATCCCATGTGTATCTTGTCACCGCCCTCCCCCACTGCAGCCCCCCCCCCCCGCGCCCCCATAAGTCCCATTAGAATGTCACTGGGAAATCTGGCAGCTATACATCCATGTGGGAAGAGCTGATTCGTATAAACTTCCTGCCCAGAACAGGATGCATTTCTTCCTTCTCACTTCTCCCCCCTAGATCTTGTTTATATATTTCTCATTAAAGTTTGTCATGCTCTTCCTACAGGACCCGGGTGTTTCTTGAGAGGGTCACCGCTCAGTGTCTTCCTTTGTTTGGGAATGAAATGGGGTTTATTCTGCTTTATCTTCTCGGGGGCCCAGGCTGGGGGCCAGTGAGCGATATTGAGGTGAAGTGTGTGGTTTGCGTCTGGCAACTTTCCTGAAGCCCCTCATCATTCTGAAGGCGCTTCCGCTGCCCCTCCGGAGGGGCCCCCTCCCCGCCGGCCCTCCGATTTCCGCTTCACCTCTTCTCATTGTGCTCGGTTTCCAGAGCCCCTCCGAGCGGTGATGGCAAAAGCAGGCATCCGCGCCGGGTTCCTGTGCCGGCCTGGAATGCGGCGGGGCCCACCGCCCGGCTCCAGAGGGGCTCCTGTTTACCCTCCTCTACAGTTTCTGGAGGTTTTGTTTGGTTTTGTTCTCAGAAATCAGAGTTGACTCTCAGCAAATGCCCTTTCCCAGTCATTCACAGTGGAGAGCCCTTTCAAACACCCGGGGAGGCGAGGGTAAAAATAGGAAGAGGCCCCCCGTGCTCACCTCCCTGCACCCCTCGGCCTAAGAAACAGGAGGTGCTGAGCCCCATTCTGCTCCAAGCACCCCCCCGTCCGCCCCACCTCGACCCTGCCAAAGGGGACCGTCCCTGTGAAGTGGGTGCTCCTCACGTCCAGGCCCGTGTCGTTCACGGTCTTGCTTAAAGAATGTGAGGCAGTAAATGTCACGCTCTGTCCCTCTGCCACTCGCACGCCACCCCAAAGCCACGCTGCCGCATTTCACCAGTGGCCGCGGGCAGCTGTCGGTCCCCGGTTTTAACCCTGTGGGCCGGTGCAGGGACGTGGC